TTCACTCAAAAACCAATTGCCGTCCCTTTCAGACGTCGGTCTCGTTTGAGGGCTTTGCGAGTCATTACAGGAAAGGCTATCCGAAGATACGACTTGTGTCTCGGTTTCACTCTTATTATCAATCGATCGGGAATTATCATCATTTGAGCCATTGTTTTGTGGTTCCAATTGTTTGACCAATTCTTGTGGTTTGGTCTCACAATTAGGTAACCGTTTTGGGAATTCTACTGATTTATAAGTTTCAAAAAGTAATCAAAAATAAAATTACATTCAAAATGAGTTTTTATAATCAATTACTTGAATGAGTATCGATTGGATCATCACTTTTATTGTTCTCGCGATTCGCATGTCTTTGTGGTGGGCTTTTGGTGGTGACGGGTGTCGGGAGTTTGGAAGTGGTGTTGTTGGCTGTGGTCTTATGAATGGGAGGACACGAAGGACTTCTCTGTTTAGTGATAATGAAAGATGAGTTGAACTTTTGTCTGGTTTTAGTTCGCGATTCCCTCCAGTCTTTGGCGAACGTCTGTCCGTACAAACTGGCGATCCGTTGCTCTAAGAATGAGTTCTTATCGTTTGGTTCACTGTTTGTGTCACGATTTGCCAAATTGACGGATCTCTCGGTTCCGTTGCTCTCAACGTCTTCGATGTCTTCATTGACATTATGTCTACTCGTTATCAACGCTTCACTGATTAGACTATTTTTGCGATGAAATGAGTCATTCAGACGATTCACCGGTTGTTGAGTGGAGTTCGCGAGAGTGACACTAATGTGTCTTCGGGTGCAATAATGGTTGTAATCAGAGTAACCAGAAATGGCACAACTGATCGACACATACGATGGCAGTCGGTGTCCATTGAGCACATGCACTCCCATGCCATTCACCACATCCACGGCCTCCCTGTGCTCACCTGCGCTCACGAGAGTGTGGTCTGATAGGGATCGGGAGGGCATGGAGTCCATAGTGACCCCATTGACACCATTGACACCATTGGATCCGTCGGTGGTATCCATCGGACTATTAATTGGCTATAAATTTGTGGTAAAATTCTTGTGTCCAGAGATCCGCTCCTCGGCTTCAATGCAAGCGTTGATGTTGACGACAATTAATGGCTTCTAATGACATGGAGTGACAGTAACTCACGAGTCGATTACCACTGTATCTCATACTCGAGTGGCACGTGATATGCGATCATTTGCTGTGAATTCATTTCGTAATATTAGCCCAAAATGAATAAATAAATAAATAATTGCTTTTAAATCATAATAAATAGATTTCAGTCGAGAGTTGCATTGAATAACATCAGAGCAAAGGGTGGGCTCCCATACCGGGGGGTCTATACTGTAAGTCACGCAAACCCAGTGCCCAAAAGCTACGTAAGGGTGCAGTCACTCGTATGTGACACCCCCTGGTCTGCCCCGCACTCACTGT